TTCTTCTTCTTCTTCTTCTTCTTCTTCTTCTTCTTCTTCTTCTTCTTCTTCTTCTTCTTCTTCTTCTTCTTCTTCTTCTTCTTCTTCTTCCTGGGACTTGAAATCAGGGAGGATATGGACACTTTCCCTGAGCTTTTTTCTTTTTCTTTTCTTTTTTTCTCCTCTTTCAAGGCAAGTGTTCTACCACATAAACACGTGAAGCTAGTCTGGGGTCACTCAAATTGATTGTATAGATGGGAGCCCCTGAAAATATATTTTCCAAGGGCATCACATCTTTGAATGATGGCAACCAGATACTGACATATCCTATATGATCATGCTGGGTTGGAGATGGAGGCAGGGAAAGCAAGTGCCAATACATAAGTAGTTTGAGGATATGGCAGGGTGAGAAGAGAGGGATCCATACAAAGTGACTTGAGCATTCAAAGTACCAAAACACCTGAATCCCAATTCCTACCCCCAAGCTCTCCTCAGCTAACATGCCATCTTCCTGCTTCACATCTGGGACACAGTTATACTTCTGGCATTTTGGTAGCTTATTGGAGATAAAGGATCTCATGGACTTTCCTTTCTTAGACTGGCTTGAACTGCCTGAGAGACCCTTAGATCTCAGCCTGAATGAGTAGTTAGGACTACAGGCATGAGCCTTGGGCACCCAGCACCACTGTATACTTAATTAATCTTCAATTTGTTTTAAAAGGATATTTTTTATTGTGAAAATACCATACAGAGGGATTACAATTACATGGGCAAGGTAATGAGTACATTGCAAGCATTGTTGCCTCCTCCTTTGTTTCCCCTTCCCATCTCCCACCCCCTATCCCCCCCTTCCCCCGCCAAAGTTGTAAAGTTCGTCCCCCTGTATCCCTATTTAAATTTGTTTTTTCCCTTCCCGTCCACAAATTATACCAACATCAAATACAATGAAAGCAGGGGTTATACCATGGGGGAGGGATATACAAAGCAACAAAGAAGGTTTATTTTTTAATGTTTAAGTAGAAAAAATTTGAAACTTTTTCTTTCCCTTTCCCTCCTTCCCTCCCTCCCTCCCTCTGTTCCTCCCTCCCTTCTTCCCTCCCTCCTTCCTTCCTTTCTTCCTCCCTCCCTCCCTCCCTCCCT